AAGGGAACTTGCGCGGCAAGGCCGCCGAAGTCAAGCATCTTGGCCCAATTTTATTGGAGGCGTGGACCAGATACATGAACCCCCAAGTTTCACTTCACGCGAAAATCAGATTGCTCCTCCGGCTTAGCGTGGACCTCGATCGCGAAATCGACAGTTTGGATCCCAAGCGTATGTGCATGCCCGAAGCAATCCGCCAGGATCTGCTTCGGCGGTGCCACGGATTTCTGGTGTTGTGGTCTGAAGTTCAAGATTTCTTTGTGAACGTCGAGGAGCAGCCAGATTTCGAGCTTTTCCACATCACGATCAAAGCGCACTTCCTGCTGCATTGCTGTCTGCTGCCATGGAACCCGCGGCGAGTGCGGTGCTACCGCGGAGAGGACCTCATGCAACGCAGGAGAAAACTGGCTTTCTCATGTAGCAAGCGCTGCAAACCTTGGCTGGTAGGAGCTAAGGCGATCGGTAAGTATACGACCGCCTTGCAGTTGGCATTCCAGTCTCTGCATGCCTGCTGAATATATTGGTTTCACCGCGCGCTCAAAAAAAATGCATCCTCTGAGCGCGTCTTGAGGAGAGAAGGAACGGGTCAGGCTGGGCAAGTGCTTTCTCACGCGCGGCCAGCTATTATCTTATTTCTTGTGCTATCTGTTAGATTACAACCCGCCCGCACTAAACCACCGAATCATGTGCAGTATGGTTGCAGAGATAACTTGTATACTTATACAACAATAATATATACGTTCGTTTACCCGAAATCAGCAAAAATAACCTATACTCTCGATTTAGCATATCCCCACCTTAAGGGAATGGCCTACAGTTGGCTCCGGACATTCAGAATGTGGCCCGGGAGTTGTGTTCTGGGAGCGCGAAGAACACAAAGTGGCTTACAGTTGGCTCCGGGCATTCAAAATGTGGTTCGGGAACGGTGTTCTGAGCGCACGAAGCACAGAAAGTGGCCTACAGTTGGCTCCAGGCATTCAACATGTGGCCTGGGAATGGCGTTCTGGCAGCGCGAGAGCCCAAAATGTGGCGACAGTTATACGAATTGGATGGCCCGCTCGGATTAGTAACATGATCGGCGGGCCCCATAGGGAGGGGGCTTCCGCTCGAGACTTCTTCGGATTAGTAACATGATCCGCGGGCCCCATCGGGAGGGGGCTCCCGCTTGAGACTTCCTCGCAATCCATTCGCAGACGAGGCCCAAGGCGAGTGAATGAGTGAGTGAGTGAGTGAGTGACTGATTGACTGGTGATGATGATGATCATCACGTTCTCTCACGCGCACACTCGTCATTATCATATGTGAGTTCATGAGCGTGTGAGTGAGTGAGTGCTGATGAGTCAGTGAGTGAGTGAGTGAGTGAGTGAGTGAGTGAATGTGTGTGCGTGAGCGAGTGAGCTAGTGAGTGAGTGAGTGAGCGCACGAAGACACAGGATGAGAGGGGGTGAGGTGAGGAGGTTCCTGCGCGGGGTGTCCAGAGAAAACAAGAATCCCACGTTGGACGTGGAGAAAAAAAACAAACGCAATCAACATGCAACACACTTACCCTATGACGTACCCAACCCATTTGTATCAATGGAAACGAGGAGTTGGCCGAAACTTGTATGGACAATCAACTTGATGTGTAAGCTACTTGGGAGGCGTCACTGTGCTGGGCCCCGCCAGCAGGCCTCGAAAGTGGCGACAGCTTCACAGATCGCACCCCCCCAGGGATGCCGAGGTCTAATTTGAATCTGCGTGTGGCGTCACTGCGTTGGGCCCCCCAGCAGGCCGCGAAAGTGTCGAGAATTTCGCAGATCGCAGCCCCCCAGGGATGGCGAGGTGTAATTTGAATCCGCCGTGGGTACCCACTGCGCTGGCCCCCCCAGCAGGCCTCGAAAGTGCCGAACGTTTCACAGATCGCAGCCCCCCAGGGATGGCGAGGTCCCATTTGAGCCCGCCGTGGGTACCTGCTGTGCTGGGCCCCCCAGCAGGCTTCGAAAGTGGCGACCGCTTCACAGATCGCAGCCCCCCAGGGGTGACGAGGTCCCATTTGAGTCCGCCGTGGGTACCCATTGTGCTGGGCCCCCCAGCAGCCCTCGAAAGTGGTGACAGTTTCGCAGATCGCAGCCCCCCAGGGATGGCGAAGTCCAATTTGGGTCCGCCGTGTGTACCCACTGTGCTGGGCCCCCCAGCAGTCCTCGAAAGTGGCGACAGTTTCGCAGATCGCAGCCCCCCAGGGATGGCAAGGTCCCATTTGAATCCGTCGTGGGTGCAGACTGCGCTGGGCCCCCCAGCAGGCCTCGAAAGTGGCGACAGTTTCACAGATCGCAGCCCCCCAGGGATGGCGAGGTCTCATTTGAGTGCGCCGCGGGTGCAGACTGTGATGGGATGGCGAGGTCACATTTGAGTCCGCCGTGGGTACCCACTGTGCTGGGCCCCCCAGCAGCCCTCGAAAGTGGCGACAGTTTCAAAGATCGCAGCCCCCCATGGATGGCGAGGTCCCATTTGAATCCGCCGCGGGTGCAGACTGCGCTGGGCCCCCCAGCAGGCCCCGAAAGTGGCGACAGTTTCGCAGATCGCAGCCCCCCAGGGATGGCGAGGTCACATTTGAGTCTGCCGCGGTTGCAGACTGTGCTGGGCCCCCCAGCAGTCCTCGAAAGTGGCGACAGTTTCGCAGAACGCAGCCCCCCAGGGATGGCGAGGTCACATTTGAATCCGCCGCGGGTGCAGACTGTGCTGGGCCCCCCCGGCAGGCCTCGAACGTGGCGACAGTTTCACAGATCGCAGCCCCCCAGGGATGGCGAGGTCCCATTGGAGTCCGCCGCGGGTGCAGACTGTGCTGGGCCCCCCAGCAGGCCTCGAAAGTGGCGACAGTTTCGCAGATCGCAGCCCCCCAGGGATGGCGAGGTCCCATTTGAATCCGCCGCGGTTGCAGACTGTGCTGGGCTCCCCAGCAGGCCCCGAAAGTGGCGACAGCTTCGCCTATCGCAGCCCCTCAGGGATGGCGAGGTCACATTTAAATCCGCCGCGGGTGCAGACTGTGCTGGGTAGGCCTCGAAAGTGACGATAGTTTCACATATCGCAGCCCCCCAGGGATGGCGAGGTCACATTTGAATCTGCCGCGGGTGCAGACTGTGCTGGGCCCCGCCAGCAGGCCTCGAAAGTGGCGACAGTTTCGCAGATCGCCGCCCCCCAGGGATGGCGAGGTCACATTTGAGTCCACCGCGGGTGCAGACTGTGCTGGCCCCCCCAGCAGCCTTCGAACGTGGCGACACTTTCGCAGATCGCAGCCCCCCAGGGATGGCGAGATCTAATCTGAATCCCCGTATGACGCCACTCCGCTGGCCCCCCCAGCAGCCCTCGAAAGTGGCGACAGTTTCACGGATCGCAGCCCCCCAGGGATGGCGAAATCTAATCTGAATTCCCGAAGGGCGTCACTCCGCTGGGCCCCCCAGCAGCCCTCGAAAGTGGCGACAGTTTCACGGATCGCAGCCCCTCAGGGATGGCGAGGTCTAATCTGAATCCCCGTAGGGCGTCACTCCGCTGGGCCCCCCACAGCCCTCGAACGTGGCGACAGTTTCACAGATCGCAGCCCCCCAGGGATGGCGAGGTCTAATCTGAGTCCCCGTAGGGCGTCACTCCGCTGGGCCCCCCAGCACCCCTCGAAAGTGGTGACAGTTTCACAGATCGCAGCCCCCCAGAGACGGCGAGGTTTAATCTGAGTCCCCGTAGGGCGCCACTCCGCTAGGCACCCCAGCAGCCTTCGAAAGTGGCAACAGTTTTACAGATCGCAGCCCCCCAGGGATGGCGAGGTCGAATCTGAGTCCCCGTAGGGCGTCACTCCGCTGGGCCCCCCCAGCAGCCCTCGAAAGTGGCGACAGTTTCACAGATCGCAGCCCCACCAGGGATGAGGAGGAGGCGGGAGGAGGCGGGAGGCGGGAGGAGGAAGGTGGAGACCACAGTGCTCTATTCAAAACGAGTACCCAACGCAGGAGGGTTGGGAAACAATAAATTTGCCTGACGAAGGACCCAGCCATGTGCAGTTGCGGGTACCGCAGTGTGGGTGCCGGTTTCGGTGGAGCTCCTATGGGGCCACGAAACTTGTGAGGGGTGCGCCGAAATTGGTGGCGCGGACGCATGTGGACACCGCCGCTGGGGCCTTCGGTGTAGCTCCCTATGGGGCCACGAAGCGCTGCCCTGGGCGAGGAAGACGCATGCGAGCTGCGCCATTGGGACCTTCGCTGGAGCTCCTTATGGGGCCACGAAGCGCTGTCATGGGCGGGGGAGACGCATGCGAACTGCGCCTCTGGCGCCTTCGGTGGAGCTCCCTATGGGGCCACGTAGCGCTGTCCTGGGTGAAAAATCGCATGCGAACACCCCGATTGAGGTCTTCGGTGGAGCTCCCTATGGGGCCACGAAGCGCTGTCCTGGGCAGGGGATACGCATGCGAACACCCCCACTGGTGCCTTCGGTGGAGCTCCCTGTGGGGCCACGAGACGCTGCCCTGGGTGTGGGAACCGCATGCGCCCCCCCTCGCTGGGACCTTCGGTGGAGCTCACTATGGGGGCACGAAACGTTGCCCTGGGTGTGGGAACCGCATGCGCCCCCCCTCACTGGGACCTTCGGTGGAGCTCCCTATGGGGCCACGAAACGCTGCCCTGGGTGTGGGAACCGCATGCGCCCCCCCTCACTGGGACCTTCGGTGGAGCTCCTTATAGGGCCACGAAACGCTGCCCCGGCCGTGGGAGACGCAAGCGCCCCCCCTCACTGGGACCTTCGATGGAGCTCCCTATGGGCCCACGAAACACAGTCCTGGGTGTGGGAACCGCATGCGCCCCCCCTCTCTGGAACCTTCGGTGGAACTCCCTATGGGGCCACGAAACGCTGCCCTGTGGCCCTGTGGCCACATCAGTAGCACCACAGAGATTACACCACATCGCTTGCAATATGTATACCCTATGCCAAGATGGCATCTGTCCCCCGCGCAGGGGGTGCCCGGGTCCAACCACAGCCGTTTTGGCTCAAACCAGAAGGCGCCGATTCGCCCGCATTCGAAGTTGGCGCTTTCGTAGCGCTCATGGAAGTGGATCACGGTAGGCAGGGTGGCCGCAGGCAGCGAAGCGCCAAATTCCTGGCGAGCACGTCGGCGAACAAGACGCGAAGTGCTCTGGGGGAATACCTCCTGGGAGAATGGGCGTGGGGCCGCATGTCGCAACAGCAAGTGCAGCGCATCGGCCAGCTACTCCAGCGTGACCTCGAGTCAGCTGCGGCAGGGACCTTGGACAGTAATCTCGTGGACCGCTTAGCTTCGCTAGGCAGCGAAGGCCGGCGCCCTGAAAACATGCATCAGCAGCTCGTCAAGATCCCCCCTCGCATCTTGCGCCCGTCGGCAACGCCCATGTCCACGAGCCCTTTTCCGAGCTCCTCTCAAGGATGCGAATGTCGGCGTGCACTTCGAGACTTTGGAGATGCTGTGCCCACACGTTTTGTTTGGAAATATGTACAAGGACTACCCGCATGCTTTTCGAAAGTACATATGTCCCGAACCCGAGGCATTGGAGCATTTTTGGAATGATGTAAGGGACCCTTCCCACTACAAGACCCATCCTGTGCGACTTCGGCCAGGGCATGCGCGGATATGCGTTCCCATCACCATCCACGGGGATGGGGCCCCCATCACTGGAGTAGGAAAGGCATGGGGTCGGCTACTCGACGCATGGCCCTGGCAGTCTCTCGTTGCGCTTGGCTCCACCGACGCGACGCAGCATGTCATCGCCATGCTGCGCGAGGCCGTGCAGTCCTCCAGCAACGCCGGCCGCGCGCTCACATATGTGTTCAGAAAGCTTCGGTGGTCGTTGCAGGCGCTGTGGGGCGGAGTCTGGCCCGAGACGGACGAAGAAGGGAAGGCTATGCCAAGTGGGTCCCCGCAGGGCGAGCTCGCGGGCGGCCGCTACGCATGCGTGCGGGGTCTTCTTGGCGACCTCGACTACTTCTTCCAAGTTCTGAACATGCCGAACTATAACTCAGCTGGCAACCCGTGCGGCTGGTGCCCGTGCAACGCTTCTACCATGCCATGGTTCGACTTCAGGGCTGGCGCAGAGTGGGTTTCAAGGGTTTATGCGGTGGAGGAGTGGCGCACCAGTGGCGCGCCCCACGCGCGCCCCCTGCTCTCGGCGCCAGGAATTTCTATACATTCGCTGATGCCAGATTGGATGCACATCAAGCATTTGGGGCTCGATAAAAGATTATATGGTTCTGCGTTGCATTGCCTTGTGCATTGCACTATGAGCGGGACTCCTGATACCAATTTAATCACTCTTCGGACAGAAATTTGGGATGTGTACAAGGTGAGTAAGACCAATTCGAAGTTTAGCAGAATCAAAATGACCACGTTTACAATTCGTTTGAAAGGGAACTTGCGCGGCAAGGCCGCCGAAGTCAAGCATCTTGGCCCAATTTTATTGGAGGCGTGGACCAAATACATGAACCCCCAAGTTTCACTTCACGCGAAAATCAGATTGCTCCTCCGGCTTAGCGTGGACCTCGATCGCGAAATCGACAGTTTGGATCCCAAGCGTATGTGCATGCCCGAAGCAATCCGCCAGGATCTGCTTCGGCGGTGCCACGGATTTCTGGTGTTGTGGTCTGAAGTTCAAGATTTCTTTGCGAACGACGAGGAGCAGCCAGATTTCGAGCTTTTCCACATCACGATCAAAGCGCACTTCCTGCTGCATTGCTGTCTGCTGCCATGGAACCCGCGGCGAGTGTGGTGCTACCGCGGAGAGGACCTCATGCAACGCAGGAGAAAACTTGCTTTCGCATGTAGCAAGCGCTGCAAACCTTGGCAGGTAGGAACTAAGGCGATCCGTAAGTATACGACCGCCTTGCAGTTGGCATTCCAGTCTCTGCATGCCTGCTGAATATATTGGCTTCACCGCGCGCTCAAAAAAAAAAAAAAAAAAAGCATCCTCTGAGCGCGTCTTGAGGAGAGAAGGAACGGGTCAGGCTGGGCAAGTGCTTTCTCACGCGCGGCCAGCTATTATCTTATTTCTTGTGTTATCTGTTAGACTACAACCCGCCCGCACTAAACCACCTAATCATGTGCAGTATGGTTGCAGAGATAACTTGTATACTTATACAACAATAATATATACGTTCGTTTTCCCTAAATCAACAAAAATAACATATACTCTCGATTTAGCATATCCCCACCTTGAGGGAATGGCCTACAGTTGGCTCCGGACATTCAGAATGTGGCCCGGGAGTTGTGTTCTGGGAGCGCGAAGAATGCAAAGTGGCTTACAGTTGGCTCCGGGCATTCAAAATGTGGTTCGGGAATGGTGTTCTGAGCGCACGAAGCACAGAAAGTGGCTTACAGTTGGCTCCAGGCATTCAACATGTGGCCTGGGAATGGCGTTCTGGCAGCGCGAGAGCCCAAATGTGGCGACAGTTATACGAATTGGATGGCCCGCTCGGATTAGTAACATGATCGGCGGGCCCCATAGGGAGGGGGCTTCCGCTCGAGACTTCTTCGGATTAGTAACATGATCCGCGGGCCCCATCGGGAAGGGGGCTCCCGCTTGAGACTTCCTCGCAATCCATTCACAGACGAGGCCCAAGGCGAGTGAATGAGTGAGTGAGTGAGTGAGTGACTGATTGACTGGTGATGATGATGATCATCACATTCTCTCACGCGCACACTCATCCTTATCATATGTGAGTTCATGAGCGTGTGAGTGAGTCAGTGCTGATGAGTCAGTGAGTGAGTGAGTGAGTGAGTGAGTGAGTGATTGAGTGAATGAGTGTGTGTGTGGGAGCGAGTGAGCTAGTGAGTGAGTGAGTGAGCGCACGAAGACAGAAGATGAGAGGGGGTGGGGTGAGGAGGTTCCTGCGCGGGGTGTCCAGAGAAAACAAGAATCCCACGTTGGATGTGGAGAAAAAACGCAATCAACATGCAACAAACTTACCCTATGACGTACCCAACCCATTTGTATCACTGGAAACGAGGAGTTGGCCGAAAACTTGTATGGACAATCAACTTGATGTGTAAGCTACTTGGGAGGCGTCACTGTGCTGGGCCCCGCCAGCAGGCCTCGAACGTGGCGACAGTTTCACAGATCGCACCCCCCCAGGGATGCCGAGGTCTAATTTGAATCTGCGTGTGGCGTCACTGCGTTGGGCCCCCCAGAAGGCCGCGAAAGTGGCGAGAATTTCTCAGATCGCAGCCCCCCAGGGATGGCGAGGTCTAATTTGAATCCGCCGTGGGTACCCACTGCGCTGCCCCCCCCAGCAGGCCTCGAAAGTGCCGAAAGTTTCACAGATCGCAGCCCCCCAGGGATGGCGAGGTCCCATTTGAGCCCGCCGTGCGTACCTGCTGTGCTGGGCCCCCCAGCAGGCCTCGAAAGTGGCGACCGCTTCACAGATCGCAGCCCCCCAGGGGTGACGAGGTCCCATTTGAGTCCGCCGTGGGTACTCATTGTGCTGGGCCCCCCAGCAGCCCTCGAAAGTGGCGACAGTTTCGCAGATCGCAGCCCCCCAGGGATGGCGAAGTCCAATTTGGGTCCGCCGTGTGCACCCACTGTGCTGGGCCCGCCAGCAGTCCTCGAAAGTGGCGACAGTTTCGCAGATCGCAGCCCCCCAGGGATGGCAAGGCCCCATTTGAATCCGCCGTGGGTGCAGACTGTGCTGGGCCCCCCAGCAGCCCTCGAAAGTGGCGACAGTTTCACAGATCGCAGCCCCCCAGGTATGGCGAGGTCTCATTTGAGTGCGCCGCGGGTGCAGACTGTGCTGGGATGGCGAGGTCACATTTGAGTCAGCCGTGGGTACCCATTGTGCTGGGCCCCCCAGCAGCCCTCGAAAGTGGCGACAGTTTCAAAGATCGCAGCCCCCCATGGATGGCGAGGTCTCATTTGAATCCGCCGCGGGTGCAGACTGCGCTGCGCCCCCCAGCAGGCCCCGAAAGCGGCGACTGTTTCGCAGATCGCAGCCCCCCAGGGATGGCGAGGTCACATTTGAGTCTGCCGCGGTTGCAGACTGTGCTGGGCCCCCCAGCAGGCCCCGAAAGTGGCGACAGTTTCGCAGAACGCAGCCCCCCAGGGATGGCGAGGTCACATTTGAATCCGCCGCGGGTGCAGCCTGTGCTGGGCCCCCCAGCAGGCCTCGAACGTGGCGACAGTTTCACAGATCGCAGCCCCCCAGGGATGGCGAGGTCTAATTTGAGTCCGCCGCGGGTGCAGACTGTGCTGGGCCCCCCAGCAGGCGTCGAAACTGGCGACAGTTTCGCAGATCGCAGCCCCCCAGGGATTGCGAGGTCCCATTGGAATCCGCAGCGGTTGCAGACTGTGCTGGGCCCCCCAGCAGGCCCCGAAAGCGGCGACAGCTTCGCAGATCGCAGCCCCCCAGGGATGGCGAGGTCACATTTGAATCCGCCGCGGGTGCAGACTGTGCTGGGCAGGCCTCGAAAGTGGCGATAGTTTCACAGATCGCAGCCCCCCAGGGATGGCGAGGTCACATTTGAATCTGCCGCGGGTGCAGACTGTGCTGAGCCCCGCCAGCAGGCCTCGAAAGTGGCGACAGTTTCGCAGATCGCCGCCCCCCAGGGATGGCGAAGTCCAATTTGGGTCCGCCGTGTGCACCCACTGTGCTGGGCCCGCCAGCAGTCCTCGAAAGTGGCGACAGTTTCGCAGATCGCAGCCCCCCAGGGATGGCAAGGCCCCATTTGAGTCCACCGCGGGTGCAGACTGTGCTGGGCTCCCCAGCAGCCTTCGAACGTGGCGACACTTTCGCAGATCGCAGCCCCCCAGGGATGGCGAGATCTAATATGAATCCCCGTATGACGCCACTCCGCTGGCCCCCCCAGCAGCCCTCGAAAGTGGCGACAGTTTCACGGATCGCAGCCCCCCAGGGATGGCGAAGTCTAATCTGAATTCCCGAAGGGCGTCACTCCGCTGGGCCCCCCAGCAGCCCTCGAAAGTGGCGACACTTTCGCAGATCGCAGCCCCCCAGGGATGGCGAGGTCTAATCTGAGTCCCCGTAGGGCGTCACTCCGCTGGGCCCCCAGCAGCCCTCGAAAGTGGCGACCGCTTCACAGATCGCAGCCCCCCAGGGGTGACGAGGTCCCATTTGAGTCCGCCGTGGGTACTCATTGTGCTGGGCCCCCCAGCAGCCCTCGAAAGTGGCGACAGTTTCGCAGATCGCAGCCCCCCAGGGATGGCGAAGTCCAATTTGGGTCCGCCGTGTGCACCCACTGTGCTGGGCCCGCCAGCAGTCCTCGAAAGTGGCAAAAGTTTTACAGATCGCAGCCCCCCAGGGATGGCGAGGTCTAATCTGAGTCCCCGTAGAGCGTCACTCCGCTGGGCCCCCCCCAGCAGCCTTCGAAAGTGGCGACAGTTTCACAGATCGCAGCCCCACCAGGGATGAGGAGGAGGCGGGAGGAGGCGGGAGGCGGGAGGAGGAAGGTGGAGACCACAGTGCTCTATTCAAAACGAGTACCCAACGCAGGAGGGTTGGGAAAAAAGAAATTTGCCTGACGAAGGACCCAGCCATGTGCAGTTGCGAGTACCGCATTGTGGGTGCCGGTTTCGGTGGAGTTCCTATGGGGCCACGAAACTTGTGAGGGGTGCGCCGAAATTGGTGGCGCGGACGCATGTGGACACCGCCGCTGGGGCCTTCGGTGTAGCTCCCTATGGGGCCACGAAGCGCTGCCCTGGGCGAGGGAGACGCATGCGAGCTGCGCCATTGGGACCTTCGCTGGAGCTCCTTATGGGGCCACGAAGCGCTGTCATGGGCGGGGGAGACGCATGCGAACTGCGCCTCTGGCGCCTTCGGTGGAGCTCCCTATGGGGCCACGTAGCGCTGTCCTGGGTGAAAAAATCGCATGCGAACGCCCCGATTGGGGTCTTCGGTGGAGCTCCCTATGGGGCCACGAAGCGCTGTCCTGGGCAGGGGATACGCATGCGAACACCCCCACTGGTGCCTTCGGTGGAGCTCCCTGTGGGGCCACGAGACGCTGCCCTGGGTGTGGGAACCGCATGCGCCCCCATTCCCTGGGACCTTCGGTGGAGCTCACTATGGGGACACGAAACGTTGCCCTGGGTGTGGGAACCGCATGCGCCCCCATTCCGTGGGACCTTCGGTGGAGCTCCTTATGGGGCCACGAAACGCTGCCCTGGGTGTGGGAACCGCATGCGCCCCCCCTCACTGGGACCTTCGGTGGAGCTCCCTATAGGGCCACGAAACGCTGCCCCGGCCGTGGGAGACGCAAGCGCCCCCCCTCACTGGGACCTTCGATGGAGCTCCCTATGGGCCCACGAAACACAGTCCTGGGTGTGGGAACCGCATGCGCCCCCCCTCTCTGGAACCTTCGGTGGAACTCCCTATGGGGCCACGAAACGCTGCCCTGGGTGTGGGAACTGCATGCGCCCCCCCTCACTGGGACCTTCGGTGGAGCTCCCTATAGGGCCACGAAACGCTGCCCTGTGCGTGGGAACCGCATGCGCCCCCCCCCCCACTGGGACCTTCGGTGGAGCTCCCTATGGGGCCACGAAACGCTGCCCTGGGTGTGGGAACCGCATGCGCCCCCCCTCCCTGGGACCTTCGGTGGAGCTCCCTATGGGGCCACGAAACGCTGCCCTCGGTGTGGGAACCGCATGCGCCCCCCCTCACTGGGACCTTCGGTGGAGCTCCCTATGGGGCCACGAAGCGCTGCCCTGGCCGTGGGAGACGCAAGCGCCCCCCCTCACTGGGACCTTCGATGGAGCTCCCTATGGGCCCACGAAACACAGTCCTGGGTGTGGGAACCGCATGCGCCCCCCCTCACTGGAACCTTCGGTGGAACTCCCCATGGGGCCACGAAACGCTGCCCTGGGTGTGGGAACCGCATGCGCCCCCCCTCACTGGGACCTTCGGTGGAGCTCCCTATGGGGCTACGAAGCGTGTGAGG